TTGAATGTATATGTTGTTGGTCGTCATTTAACTTGCACTATTTCCCCCTTATTTCTCCATTGTATTTGTTGTTGGGTGATACATTTGTGTTTGGACATTTCATAATTACTCCATCTGGTTTGGTTTTGAGTATTGTTTACTCAAGAGGAGGGAGTGTTATGGACTAATTATGTATATCTGTTCTACCTTGACACTGTCCGGTAACCATATCTTATTATAAGCAGTTTTCGGCTGTTTCACTCTTTTGGCCAGACTTCAAGACTCCAGTACTGTTTGACCTCTTTAATTTCTGATAAGGTGTTTCCAGACTGACAGTCCTGTCATTTGGTTAGATGGTTCCAGCTGGCGATCTGTGATTGGTTATAAGCACGTCACACGACGTTATCATGATGTATATTATTGGCTGCTTTCCAGTGACGCGCCAGTCACAACTTAGCCGATTTCCTGATTGACTGACCGCTGGGTTGTTGCTCAGAATTAAATCATTTTGACGACCATACACGCAGACTTTCTGTGCATTTATTCCAACGTGTTTCTGCATTCTTGGTAAATTATGCGACGACAATATCAACTGTAAATTTTAGATTCATGTTCARTGTAACAAAATAAACAAATAAAAGATGARGGACAAAAACTGAGCTGTTGGCTTTAAGTAACTGTGCCAATTTCTCCAAAMTAAAACTTTTTAAGAGCCATCTACAGCAGGTAAGACATTAACTTTTCATAACTCTTTCCRTAGAACCCCATTTCAAAAGATCTAAGCAATCCCTTTCCCAGCTCCATGAAACATTCATCGAGTTATCCTTCATTCTATGACCTGCCACGACAGGCGGATGGTGGGTAATAATGTTGTTGCCATGTCTGTTTGCAAAAAGTCTTTAAGAAAACATCTCTTGCAATAWAACATGAGATTGTGCAGAATGCTAATTTCAAGGTTTSCAGCTTTAACAGCGTCATTTCTCAGCACAAGATGATCTTAATTTTAAAACGGACACGAAAGGCGGCGGGGCCGTAGGCATTCCTTCAAGGCCTTTACTTAAAGATGCGAGAAGAAATTGTTTATGTAAAGGTTGAACCATGAAAAGGAAGGTCAGAGCCGACGCTGCACCTGATTGGACGGAGAGTTTTCAGGATTACCTAACAGCAGCATGACCTGCGGTGCACATATAGCAGGGGCGATAAGAGGGCGGTTACCAGGGGAAAGTTCAGGCTCTTCCAGTGTGTCTGTAAACAGAAGTCCAGTCTGACCGTCGGACATGCGTGTGACATATGATGCTGGACTAACATGTAGTCTACATGATCAAGTAATCCAATCTTTCTTGCTGATGGTTTTTTTCTTTCTACTAAATGTTTACCATATTCTGCATCCAAGTTCTTGTTTTTGCTCTTTGCAAGCCTACAAATCAAACCCATGTTTTTCTAAATCCATAATGCCGTCCAATTCTAAGTATTTTAATGCACTTCTCAGATCTGTTTGGACAAGTAGAGTCTCCACATCTACACAGAAGTGCTGTATATAATTTACAGCCTCTGATTAATATTGATTTCACAGGAGCGACTTCAATCTCTCCATCAGAATTTGGTTTTTTTTTTCTTTTCTTTTGAGAATTATTTCTGCACACAAATCAAAGAAGCGACACTTGAAGTGAAGCACATCAGACCCATCTAATCCCACTTCCTGTAGCGTATCGCAACAGGGGGATGAACTGTCAGAGACTAGGATTACACAGTCTTAATCTGGAACAATATATTGGCTTAGTCAGCCTTCTCAGACACACTTTATGTATGGGCATGCTGCGGCGGTGTAAACACAGGCACTTCCTACAGAGACCAGAAGTCCACACACAGTTCAGTTCTTTCTTTGTTCCAAGCTCCAGCCTCGACAGCAGGTTTCACAAAATCGGACACAGTGGCTTATAAACAATCTGCGTTTAAATGTAAAATACACACAGGTGTGTCTGTGTGGCTCAAAGAGCATTCACCCTCTCATGTGTCACTGTTACGTGAAGGAAGGAGAGGTCAATAAAGAGAAGCTGCTTTGGAAATCTCTAAAAAAATATATAAAAAGCAGCTATCAAAGCTTCCCCAACATGTGCAGGCAGAACAGAGGGAGACTAAATGAGTTAACAGTCATGGTGGCTGCAGCGTCCCCTGAGGTTAGAAGTCACAAGGACACCAAACRCCAGACAGACCAACAAATAAACCAGCAAAACAAAGAGAATACCGACAGAATGTTTAGTAAAAGACAATGAGTCAAACTGAAAAAGGACAATTATATCAAAATGCCTCCTTTGAGAGTGATTTGTTAGGAAATAAATTCACAGTTTTATTTAGAACCGAGCAGAGTCTTTACCTCTGACGCCATCTAGTGGAGAGGCTTATTAACTGCAGAAAAGTAAATTCTACCTAAATTCATACAGTATATTAAAATAACATGGAAAAAAACCCAAAAAAAATGTTATAATTATCACCTACTGCTCAAAGGTGAAAGGTAGAGAATAATGATATTTTTATCTGTGTGTGTCTGTCTGAATATTACTTAAACATCTCTGGACAGATCCAAATGAAGATTGCAGAAATTTATCTGTGTGTGTCTGTCTGAATATTACCTAAATATCTCTGGACAGATCCAAATGAAGATTGCAGAAATTAATTGCTGAACGTCTACAACTGATTACCATTTAGAGTCAACACAATTTAAGATRGTTGCTGACCCTTAAAAAATACAACAAATTGTATAACTTGGCTTTTCCACAAGTTTGATGCCATTTTAGACTTTTAGCTGACCTAATAGTTGATGTAAAAGTAGCTGCTAGGATGTTAAATAYAGTCATTTTTTCTTCAAATGACTAAAGCAGGTAAAGGAGTGAGACGTACCTTTCCCAGACACAACTTCGCTCTCAGTCCGCCAACGAAAACCAAACTGAAAGACACAAATAAAACAGATTACAGTGCTGATATAATTAAAGATGAAGGTATTAATGTGTAAAACAGTAAACCTAAATAGGGGGGAAAATTACTCATTACAAGTTGTAACACTTGTTTTTGAACATATTACCATAATTAAAGTGTGTAAACTTTAATGATTGGCTCTAAATACTGGTAGCTTCTCCGATTAGCCTGTATCATGGTTAAAAAGCTCTGAATGTTGAAGACTTGTTTCTGACATCAGCACTGAGTTAACATTAGCTTTGTCTTTAAAAAAAAACCAGAAGTTTGCACACCCTGGACAGGTTGAAAGTCCGTTATAAAGACAAAAAGAGACAAACAACCACTCTCACACCTAGGGACAGTTTAGAGTTCCTTCTGGAAGCTGACATGTATGTTTTTGGTGTGTGGGAGGAAACCAGAGTACTCGGAGCAGGGGGGAAAACATGTAAACTCTAAACTACTGGTAACTCTAAAACTAAATAAAATTCTAAATGACCTTATTCTTTTTTTAATGACAGTTTTCATACATTTACTGTGTTCAATTGGAAATAAAAACAGTCTTTAATAAACCTGCAAATGATTGTCTGAAATGCAAATTAAAGCACAATAGAAAGTCCGGAATTGGGGTCCGTAATATCTCACCTTGTTTTCCTTGTATCTGCTGAGGTCAGCTATGCAGTACTCCTTAAACAGCTTGTCGTAATACTTCTTGGCAAGTTCTTTTTCCCTTTAAAAGAAAAAGTTGTGAGAGAGGTAGAAATCCAGTCTAAACAAAGACATTTTCTCAATAGAAACTAAACATATGAGATTTAATATCTTAAAAACAATAAACAGGGTTCCCACACCTTGGTCAACATCAAATTCAAGGACCTTTCAAGGACTTTCCAGTACCAATTTCCTCAAATTAAAGAACCATGCGCAAAGGCAATTGCCTACTGCTATCGCAGAATGTTACCAATAAACAGGTTTAATATCATGTAAATTCAATGAAAATCTGACAACATAGAAGGTGTTGACAGAGCCTGTCTTTGATCCTAGTGGCACCCCGCTGGCCAGCGAAGTCTTGGTACGCCGAGATAATCAGCTTGCTAGC